GAAATGCCATAAATCCTGTGTTGGCAGAGCTCAAAGCAATTTGAGCATCCATACAAACTTAGGCCTTGCGACTGCACATAGAGACAGGCAAGTAATCGAAACAACATACCCAGAAGAGACCATGTGAGTGCAAAAAAGGGGGAGAATTTAGGGGCAGGGAGAAAACCTACATGTGGAACCAGTGCTGGGTAGAGTTGACTGCTAAGCACTCAGTGAGCAAGCCACTCCTCAAGGCCTGCAAAGTATACCCCTCACCAAAAGCATGGGTCAGCAGCTCAGTGGGGTGCTGTGTTTTGTAGTGTATATATGCCTTCTCATATCCTCTCTGTGCTCCGGCTGCAACAGTATGTTCTTCTCCATGTCTTCTTGACTGTCTTGCCCAGCTACACTGCAAGCTTGCCCAGGCTGGAGATCCTTTCTGCCGTGTTCTCCTCAGAACAAGGGAAATCCAGCAGCATGCACTTTGCTTCCACCATGCATTTTTCTGTGAGAAACTCCAGGCATTCAAGCACAGATAGGAAAGTGTTTTAGTAAGCTACCCAAGTAGGGTGATCCCTTTATCGCAGATGGGGACACACAAGTTGGAAACACAAGCTTTCAGCCTTGACAGTCACTGCTTTCCCATCACTCACTCCTGAAATAATGTGGATACCACTGTGATAGCTTCAGCTGCTAAGGAAACAAACCTCTTCCCATACACTTTACTCACACGCTGTGTCATTCAATTCCTCATCTGAGTGAGAGCGATTATGTTGGCAGTTTCACCATTATCTTAAAGAAAAGCAGGACTTCACCATCATTCTTGAACATAAAAGTCCATCATCTAGCTAACAGCATTTTCCAGGACTCTAGAGAGGCTTTTTACAAGACATGCTGCCTCTCAAGAAATAAGAAGGGCTAGAAGGTGAGCTTCCCAAAGGAAACAGCTTTGTGCTCTGCCCTGTGGTGTCAAGTGCTGCTATGGATCAATGTGGGTATTTCCTAATGTCAAATTTGACTATTTTTGACCACTTACTGAAAGACAGTAGAGGTTTGCATTGTTTGTACCTAGGAGTAGTAATATAAGTGTCCTAATGAAGAAGTGCCCTTGAAACCTGGATCTAAGGGCAAGCTCAACATGATGACAGGCTCTGCTGGAGGCTCAAGCAGGGTCATTTTTCTCTCTACAGTTGTCAAAGATCTTTGGGTCTGAGGAGCAAACACTGACCATAAAGTTGCAATAAACCCTAGGATTGATGGATGCTGGCTGGTAATGCTTTTTGTTTGGGGGTTTGTTTGGGGTTTTGTTTTGTTTAAAACCATTGGAGCCACAGGAAACCATGAGATGACAGTTTAGGTCTTACCTCATTCTCATCAGTACTAACAGCAAACCTGAAACTGATTTTAAATGTCAAGGAAAAACCTTCAGCGGACTAAGAAATGAAATAAAGCTTCTTTATGTAGCCTGTTGTCTGTGCATGTTTTTGAAGATGCAATAAAAGCAATAAAAGCTTTCACTGGAAAGAGAGTCTTCAATAAAAATACACATTCTCTCCAAATGCATGCTTTGGTTGTGATCTTTTATTTCCCACAGAACGGGTAAAACATTCAAACCAATTTTCAGCTAAGCAGCAGCTGAGATGTTCAGAAGCATTTGACAAAGGCGTGCAAACATCTGAAACAGAAAAGGCTCTCATTTTTATGTCAAATGCTTGCCTTGTTAAGTTTCCACTAAATATACATATATATATATATTAGCTAATATGCCTAGTGCTTTTGTAACAAGTTCTAGCGATTTCTCAGGGAAGCTACAGTTTCCAAGAGGAAGTTCTCAGGCAATTTTTTTCCTAAAGCAAAGGAATGTCCCACTGGGACCTCACTGGTCCCACTGGCCCCCAAAGGAGCCCTAAGAAGAGCCCCAGAGGAGCTGTGGAAGGCAAGCAGAGCACAGACTTGCACACACTCCTGCAGGCCTGACTGGTACAGTATTCAGCAACAGAGCTTTGCCTGGGATAGACTGAAATATGCCACCAGGTCAGCCAGCAACGGAGTGCACACAGAGGCTGGCTGCAGAGCCCTGAAGCCTGTTGCACTGGGCGTTTAAGGCAGTGTTTTAGGACTGGCACGCCACCTGTCAGAGAATGGAGATTTGCTGTTTCTGCCCATCTGCTTATTCAGCCTGTTCACCACTAGGCTTGGTTCTCCTGGGAGGTGCTTTTTGAAGCCACGGGAACTAGAAGTACACTTAAAAACCAAACCAAAACATTGATGAAAGCTGAGATTCTGCACACACACCATGGAAACACACTGCACATTAATCTGGACACACAGACCATGCTTTCTTAGCTCCCTTTTCTACAAATGTCTTCTCACAAGGACTGGATTGGCATCCTTTATGGTCCCTGAGTGCACTTCAGTTCAGCATATTCCCAAAAGTGCTATCACTAATTTACTTAAAAAGTGATAATCAAATTCTCTCCTTTTCTCTCTCATTCCAATACTTTAAGAACATTACAACGGCCTTCTCCACAGAGAAGACAACTGATGCGGCACAAGGCAAAGAACCAATACTCACGTTCAAAGGGGCACATGGTGAGGCTTGACTGATGGATTACAAAGGCCTGGGGACAGATCCAGGCAGTGCAGACAGAGGTCGAGTACTACAGCATTTTTGCCTTAGCTGCATTTTCCCCACCATTTTGCAGAGCAATCAGCAGCTCGGAGCTGAAAGACTGAAAGAAAAGCCTGCCTCGATGATGGTTATTCCGTCTCTTCCAATCCCCCCAAAATATATTCTCCCTTCTGAAGGTATGCTGTGTGTTTCAGTGACAGGCCCATCAACAGAACCAATCTGACATTGGTTACCTTTCCAAAACAATCTGCATCACAGCACTATTATCAGCACATCCATTTTTAAATGCTGGACAATGACTAGTCCCAGGAACCTTAAGATCATCAAGTTCCAGCCCCCCTGCCATGGGCAGGGACACCTCACACTAAACCATCTCACCCAAGGCTTCGTCCAACCTGGCCTTGAACACTGCCAGGGATGGAGCATTCACAACTTCCCTGGGCAACCCATTCCAGTGGCTCACCACCCTTACAATAAAGAACTGCCTCCTTATATCCAATCTAAACTTCCCCTGTTTAAGATTCAACTCGTTGTGATATACAACCCCTTGTCTATCACTATATCCATAACGATACAGAATATGCTAGATGTAACATTAAAGGCGAGGTAATATATTATGATCCTAATATGTTGTGTTCCCTTCATCGAGCCAGCTGGTAGGCTATCTATCAACTCTCTCTTAATCGTGGCATCTTTTTGTTTTGGCATGTTTGGTCCCCTTTCTTTTTTCCCGTCTTTAGACTTCAGCAGTTTCTCGTCATCTGCTAGGAATTTTTGTGGGGCTGGTGACACCCTCTGGCCGTCTCTGGTATTGCTTCTCACTGCATTCAGAATGTATTATTCACTCCTAAAACCTAGAAATAAGGCTACCACCACGTGAAAACCAGCAGACAAAAATCCCTTATGCTGTGCAATGATGCCTACCTTAGAGGTACATTGGGAAGCGGTGGCAAGTGTCCCATGCCACCACTGCCTATACCCAGACAGTGCCAACAAGGTACTCAGCCTGCTCTTTGCCCCTAACCTAGGGCTCCTACTTTGACTTCTGGAAAGGCTGGGACACAGATACCGGAAAGACCTCGCATGATCAAGACACAATTGCTCCTTCTGTTACTCCACACCCCAAAAGCTCAGCAAAACAGCACTTCAATCACACACCTCTTTCCTGAATTGAAGCCTGCCTGCACACAGGAACATCAGTACTGGTTAAAAACACATCGCTTCAGCCTGATTCAGTGGCTTGTGAGGGTACAGTCAAGTCTGTACTCACACAAGCATTTATTTTCACAGCATCTCAGAATTCAACTAAATGCCCAGCAAATTAATGAATTATTAGGACACTAATTTACTGTCAGTTAAAACCATCCAGAAACCGGAAGCCTCTGGCTGCTGCCCTTGTACCTGCAGCTTTCCAAAGACTGAATCATAGAATCAACTGTGATTCCATAGAGTCAACTAGGCTGGAAAAGACATTTAAGATCATGAAGTCCAACCATGTCTCTTCCAGCCTTGTCAGTAACGCAACCCGTTAATGCCTCCAGACAACACTGCAACTCCACCTCTATTCCCAAGCAGTGGGCATACCAGTGGACAGGACCAAAACACAGAAGCTAAGAAATCAGCAGTAACAGGTGCTTTGCAGAACATCACGTAACATTTGAGGGTGGCTTCCTCCTCCACTAGAAATGAGCTTTATACAAAGAGCACTTCATCCTTCATCACCCCCCACAGCTACTTAAGGTCTCTCTCAACAAACACCACGGGACAGGTATTTGGTAAAGGAGATGTATATTTATTCACTTTACAAAGAGGGTGGTATTTACTTGCAACAGCTCAATTTATAGACAAATATATTATTGTACATTATAGTGGTGAATGGCTCAAACCTTTACCTTGTTTTGCTCTTAAAAATGTGTTTGCACCACTTCAGCTTCCATTAGCTGAGCAAATAGCTATCCTTGTTCTGCCACTGAGAGGTAAAAACCCATAACAAAGGTATTGCTGTGCGCTACGTATTCACAAGCATTCACCTTCTCATTTCCCAGTGTTACTCCCATTTCCTCACCCAATTCAACAGCCTATCCTCCGGGTTAGCATTACACTTATATACAGCCTCCATTAAAACAAAATTAGGAGCCAGTGATAGTTCTAATGTCCTTCTGAAGCACAAGAAAAGTCATTGATTTGTACGTATAAAAGTCTTGAGTTCAAATTTGTTAAAAACAAAAAACAAAAACCCAAACCCACGCCATCTGAAGTCAGGTTGCCATTTAGATGTTACCAAGGCATGGCTGAACGAATGGAGGATGGGGAGGGGAGAAAAAAAAATCCAGCAGAGAATTAAATATTACAAAAATATCTTTTTCTTTTTTTTTTCTCCTGTTTTCCATTTCATTTTTATAAAAATGCAGCAGGATGCCCCCACTTGCTACGCTAACTGAAGCATGGGAAGAAGGTACAGACCGGTTGTCTTTGATCCTCGAATAGCAAACAAATTCAATATAAAGCTGAACCAAGTTTACCACACAAACAGTGGTGGCAGATTTATTTCACTTGAGATACAAATGCATGTCCACATGACAGGCATAATCTGACCATGAGGCGGAAGAAATGTTTCTATAAGTAAGCGCAGGGAAATAGGGCGAGAGAAGGCTGGCATGGTTAAGCATTCTGGATTCAGAAATGCACCATGCCCCACAGGTGCCTCTGCACATAGGCTGTGCACAAGTCTGCACTCCCGATATGCAAATATGGCATCTTTCCGCAAGATGATCCAGAATTAAAGAGTTTGGTGGCCCACTTGTTTAAACTGTTAAAATTATCCTTCTGTGCTGTTATTCTTCCTCACTTTCATTTTCTGGTTCCAAATCAGAATCACCATTGATCTCCTTTTCAACAGTCATGTCTTGTTCATCAGATTGCTCCTCTTTTTCTTCGTCTTCATCCCAGTTTTCCTGGGGAAAAAAAAAATAAACAGGAATGTTTGAACCTTTGACAGTCACACTGTTTCTTCTGCTACAAGCAAACCGGGGAAGATCTGATCCAACTCCACTTACATCAGACTCTTTATCTGCAATCATCTCATCATCTGAGCCTTCCTCCTCTGAGGATTCTGCAAAGAGAAAACATTCCTTCAGTCTGGACAAGACTTTAAAATGTCATTTTGCAAACAAAGCCCAACCCCACATACTGCTGTGTCTCCAAACTATGCTATTTCAGTTCCAAAACTAATCCTATCTGAAGATTAGGCTGATCAACAAGAATCAGGAACAAGTCACTTCCATTATGAATATACTGTATGAAGTTGTAGTAGAAAAACAGGCCAAATTGGAAGTGCACACTTGCACACACACTTACATCTACTGCAAACATGAAAGTACCTTGACTCTATCTACCTTAGCAGAAGGGCAGCTAACACTAAAAATGTGAGGTTGCCACTTACATTAAGCAGCATATGAAACTTCCAATTAACCGATTCCTTAATGTGTGAAGCAGGAACGGGAGGAAACAGAAGGGAAAAAGAAGGCATAGGAACAACCAACTACAAGCTGCCCACATTATTAATTAACCACTGATTTTCCTGCCATGGAATTGCCACAGAAACTCTCCTCGCAGATTGTACACTAGTAGATAAGCACAGGATCATGATGAACAGCCATCATGTATCAGCTGCCATGTGAGTTCAGGAGCTGAGCTCCACCTGGTATCCAAGACTTACCATCCTCATATACCAGCTTTGCAGTCTGATTCATCTCGGTGACATCCTGAACTGCTTCCGCTGCTGCAACCTGAATAGAATTTGCAGATTAGCCTTAGATGCAGTCACATATTCCAACCTTAAAAGTCAGCAGAACTCATAACAATGTCTAAATGAAGTCTACATCAAGCTTAACACACATGAATTCATTTATAGTAGTAGTTGAACAGACAAACACAAAGGACAAAGTAAAATTTTAGAGGTATCTGCTCTGAAGCAGCCCAGTACCTCCCATTTATTCCCCTTTACAAATCTATGGGCTAGTAGACACGCTTGGCAGGAAAAATGTATAACACTTCCAGTGAGCACTGACAGTCAACTAAGTGTGCTGCTTCAACTGTTACCAGCACAGCTGTATAGCACCTGGATTAAGTTCCTGATGACCAGCCCCACTGGATGTTATCACAGCAGAGAGGATAAGCCTGCGAATAATACCTCTTCTGCACAACCCGTGTTACTTAGCTGTAACTTACCTGGGTGACAAGAATGAACAGTCTTCCATGCAGACGGGAGAGTTTTTGCAAAGTTTTTACTCTGCTCTCCATTAACTGGTATAGCATTCCCAGCTGAGGAACAAGGTCTGGCAACTTGGGAGAAGAGAAGGATGAAGAAAAATGAAGCTGTTAACACCACCACAAATATCTTACTTTTAAACTATCTTTGTACTTCTGGGGCAAGCAATCCTTGCTCACATTCTTCAAGACAGAAGGGAGAGCTGAGGGCTCACAGAAACCACCTGCAGCCTGATCAATTAACATTTAGACATGTTTAGAAACATCATCTACTTTCAAAACATGGCAATTCTATTCCTCTTCCTTTCCCTGGTCACTGCTATAAGCAGGTGTCAGAGCACCATTTGGAAAGCTGTGTAAATGAGAACTGGATATACACCAATGTATGAATGCAGCCTCAGCAAGGTGTGCAAGTTCTGACACACCACAAAACTGCATTAAATGGAAAGGATTAACAACACAAAAATGCCTTTTTCTTAACTGAAAAAGGGTGCTTTATCCATCCCTTGTAAGACAAAGCTGGACCAGAAGCTACAACATTACTTACTACGCTAACAACTTTGGCACACCATTACCACACAGCCATGCCCAAGATAGCCTCAAGATGAGCACTGCAACAGCAAGGCAATCTAGTTCTCAAAGACTTAATGACACAGGCCAAATCAATCTCCAACATTAATTTTTTCCCCAACCTCACAGGTATGACACAACTTATCTTGGTTTGACTTTGGAATGACTGGAACTATGCCCTGAATGATCAAGGCAAACGATTTATAACCAGTGTGCAGCAATTTAGCAGAAGTGGCAGAAGTACACTGTACTCTGTATATTGATTTGGGCACTCCCATATATAGAGAGCAGGAGAGAGATTCCCAGAGGAAGACCACAGATTTATTTAAGCATTTAAATCTAGTTTTAGTTATGTGCATTAGCATTAATGCAGAACACTTACTGTGGAAAGGTAGGATGCATGTATAGTTAAAACAGACTTCAGCCATCGAACCATTAGGGAGGCACTGGAAAAAAAATGTTTTAAAAATTGCCAAAAATGGCTTAAAAAGTGTTTTAGTAATGTCAAAACTGGGTTGGAAATGGCCAAAAATGGAGTCAAAAGCTTTAGACAGAGGACAAAATTGCATAGAAATGACAAAATATGTATAGAAATAGCCAATTCATGGCTTAAAAGAGCTTAGAAGGAAGAAAAAATTGGTTACAAGCATTTAAACATATGTAAACCCGAACTAGAAATGGGAAAAATTAGGTTAGAAATGGTTAGAAATTGTTTAGAAATAGCCAGAAACCGCTTAAAACTTTCTAGAATTGGGCAAAACTGGGTTAGAAATGGCCAAGACTGGGTTTAGAAATAGCCAACAGTGGATTCAAACAGGTTAGAAGCAGGTAAAAATGGGTTAGAAATAGTAAAAATGGCTTAAAACGAGTTAGAAAGGGGCAAAACACGGTTACAAATAGTCAATGAAGTCTTAACAAAGAATAGAGGTATGCAAAAATGTTTTAAAAATTGCCAAAAATGGCTTAAAAAGTGTTTTAGTAATGTCAAAACTGGGTTGGAAATGGCCAAAAATGGAGTCAAAAGCTTTAGATAGAAGACAAAATTGCATAGAAATGACAAAAAATGTATAGAAATAGCCAATTCATGGCTTCACACACCTGAGAAATAAGTAAAAATGGGTTACAAATATTTACAAATTTGTAAAAATGAATTAGAAATAAGCAAATTAGGATAGAAATGGCCAAAATTATTTTAGAAATAGCCAGAAACGGCTTAAAAATTTCTAGAAATGGGCAAAACTCAAGTAGAAATGGCCAAGACTGGGTTTAGAAATAGCCAACAGTGGCTTCAGACAGGTCAGAAGCAGGTAAAAAATGGGTTAGAAATAATAAAAATGGCTTATAACGAGTTTGAAATGGGCAAAACAGGGTTACAAATAGTCAAGGATGTCTTAATAAAGAATAGAGGTATGCAAAAATGGGTTAAAAATTGCCAAAAATGGGTTAGAATGTTTTAGTAATGTCAAAACTGGGATGGAAATGGCCAAAAATGGAGTCAAAAGCTTTAGATAGAAGACAAAATTGCATAGAAATGACAAAAAATGTATAGAAATAGCCAATTCATGGCTTCACACACCTGAGAAATAAGTAAAAATGGGTTACAAATATTTACAAATTTGTAAAAATGAATTAGAAATAAGCAAATTAGGATAGAAATGGCCAAAATTATTTTAGAAATAGCCAGAAACGGCTTAAAAATTTCTAGAAATGGGCAAAACTCAAGTAGAAATGGCCAAGACTGGGTTTAGAAATAGCCAACAGTGGCTTCAGACAGGTCAGAAGCAGGTAAAAAATGGGTTAGAAATAGTAAAAATGGCTTAAAACGAGTTAGAAAGGGGCAAAACACGGTTACAAATAGTCAATGAAGTCTTAAGAAAGAATAGAGGTATGCAAAAATGGGTTAAAAATTGCCAAAAATGGGTTAGAATGTTTTAGTAATGTCAAAACTGGGATGGAAATGGCCAAAAACGGAGTCAAAAGCTTTAGACAAAGGACAAAATAGTATAGAAACGACAAAAAATATTTAGAAATAGCCAATTCATGGCTTAAAAGAGCTTAGAAGGAAGAAAAAATTGGTTACAAGCATTTAAACATATGTAAACCCAAACTAGAAATGGGAAAAAATAGGTTAGAAATGTTTAGAAATTGTTTAGAAATAGCCAGAAACCGCTTAAAACTTTCTAGAATTGGGCAAAACTGGGTTAGAAATGGCCAAGACTGGGTTTAGAAATAGCCAACAGTGGATTCAAACAGGTTAGAAGCAGGTAAAAATGGGTTAGAAATAGTAAAAATGGCTTAAAACGAGTTAGAAAGGGGCAAAACACGGTTACAAATAGTCAATGAAGTCTTAACAAAGAATAGAGGTATGCAAAAATGTTTTAAAAATTGCCAAAAATGGCTTAAAAAGTGTTTTAGTAATGTCAAAACTGGGTTGGAAATGGCCAAAAATGGAGTCAAAAGCTTTAGATAGAAGACAAAATTGCATAGAAATGACAAAAAATGTATAGAAATAGCCAATTCATGGCTTCACACACCTGAGAAATAAGTAAAAATGGGTTACAAATATTTACAAATTTGTAATTAAATGAATTAGAAATAAGCAAATTAGGATAGAAATGGCCAAAATTATTTTAGAAATAGCCAGAAACGGCTTAAAAATTTCTAGAAATGGGCAAAACTCGGGTAGAAATGGCCAAGACTGGGTTTAGAAATAGCCAACAGTGGCTTCAGACAGGTCAGAAGCAGGTAAAAAATGGGTTAGAAATACTAAAAATGGCTTATAACGAGTTTGAAATGGGCAAAACAGGGTTACAAATAGTCAAGGATGTCTTAATAAAGAATAGAGGTATGCAAAAATGGGTTAAAAATTGCCAAAAATGGGTTAGAATGTTTTAGTAATGTCAAAACTGGGATGGAAATGGCCAAAAACGGAGTCAAAAGCTTTAGACAAAGGACAAAATAGTATAGAAACGACAAAAAATATTTAGAAATAGCCAATTCATGGCTTAAAAGAGCTTAGAAGGAAGAAAAAATTGGTTACAAGCATTTAAAAATATGTAAACCCGAACTAGAAATGGGAAAAATTAGGTTAGAAATGTTTAGAAATTGTTTAGAAATAGCCAGAAACCGCTTAAAACTTTCTAGAATTGGGCAAAACTGGGTTAGAAATGGCCAAGACTGGGTTTAGAAATAGCCAACAGTGGATTCAAACAGGTTAGAAGCAGGTAAAAATGGGTTAGAAATAGTAAAAATGGCTTAAAACGAGTTAGAAAGGGGCAAAACACGGTTACAAATAGTCAATGAAGTCTTAACAAAGAATAGAGGTATGCAAAAATGTTTTAAAAATTGCCAAAAATGGCTTAAAAAGTGTTTTAGTAATGTCAAAACTGGGTTGGAAATGGCGAAAAATGGAGTCAAAAGCTTTAGACAGAGGACAAAATTGCATAGAAATGACAAAAAATGTTTAGAAATAGCCAATTCATGGCTTAAAAGAGCTTAGAAGGAAGAAAAAATTGGTTACAAGCATTTAAACATATGTAAACCCGAACTAGAAATGGGAAAAATTAGGTTAGAAATGGTTAGAAATTGTTTAGAAATAGCCAGAAACCGCTTAAAACTTTCTAGAATTGGGCAAAACTCGGGTAGAAATGGCCAGCACTGGGTTTAGAAATAGCCAACAGTGGATTCAAACAGGTTAGAAGCAGGTAAAAATGGGTTAGAAATAGTAAAAATGGCTTAAAACGAGTTAGAAAGGGGCAAAACACGGTTACAAATAGTCAATGAAGTCTTAACAAAGAATAGAGGTATGCAAAAATGTTTTAAAAATTGCCAAAAATGGCTTGAAATGTTTTCGTAATGTCAAAACTGGGTTGGAAATGGCCAAAAATGACGTCAAAAGCTTTAGACAGAAAACAAAATTGCATAGAAATGACAGAAAATGTTTAGAAATAGCCAATTCATGTCTTCAAACAGCTTAGAGGCAAGTAAAACTAGGTTACAAATATTTACAAATTTGTAAAAATGAATTAGAAATGGGCAAAAAAATCAGGATAGAAATCAAGTATCCTAAGTGGCCCTACCACAAAGTAGAGCATTCTAGAAATGGGCAAAACTCAAGTAGAAATGGCCAAGACTGGGTTTAGAAATAGCCAACAGTGGCTTCAGACAGGTCAGAAGCAGGTAAAAAATGGGTTAGAAATAATAAAAATGGCTTATAACGAGTTTGAAATGGGCAAAACAGGGTTACAAATAGTCAAGGATGTCTTAATAAAGAATAGAGGTATGCAAAAATGGGTTAAAAATTTGCCAAAAATGGGTTAGAATGTTTTAGTAATGTCAAAACTGGGTTGGAAATGGCCAAAAATGGAGTCAAAAGCTTTAGATAGAAGACAAAATTGCATAGAAATGACAAAATATGTATAGAAATAGCCAATTCATGGCTTCACACACCTGAGAAATAAGTAAAAATGGGTTACAAATATTTACAAATTTGTAAAAATGAATTAGAAATAAGCAAATTAGGATAGAAATGGCCAAAATTATTTTAGAAATAGCCAGAAACGGCTTAAAAATTTCTAGAAATGGGCAAAACTCGGGTAGAAATGGCCAAGACTGGGTTTAGAAATAGCCAACAGTGGCTTCAGACAGGTCAGAAGCAGGTAAAAAATGGGTTAGAAATACTAAAAATGGCTTATAACGAGTTTGAAATGGGCAAAACAGGGTTACAAATAGTCAAGGATGTCTTAATAAAGAATAGAGGTATGCAAAAATGGGTTAAAAATTGCCAAAAATGGGTTAGAATGTTTTAGTAATGTCAAAACTGGGATGGAAATGGCCAAAAATGGAGTCAAAAGCTTTAGACAAAGGACAAAATAGTATAGAAACGACAAAAAATATTTAGAAATAGCCAATTCATGGCTTAAAAGAGCTTAGAAGGAAGAAAAAATTGGTTACAAGCATTTAAAAATATGTAAACCCGAACTAGAAATGGGAAAAATTAGGTTAGAAATGTTTAGAAATTGTTTAGAAATAGCCAGAAACCGCTTAAAACTTTCTAGAATTGGGCAAAACTGGGTTAGAAATGGCCAAGACTGGGTTTAGAAATAGCCAACAGTGGATTCAAACAGGTTAGAAGCAGGTAAAAATGGGTTAGAAATAGTAAAAATGGCTTAAAACGAGTTAGAAAGGGGCAAAACACGGTTACAAATAGTCAATGAAGTCTTAACAAAGAATAGAGGTATGCAAAAATGTTTTAAAAATTGCCAAAAATGGCTTAAAAAGTGTTTTAGT